AAAAAAGAAAGGAGGTGAAAAAGAGAAAAAAAAGATGAGAAACGGAAATAAAATGTTTCACGCGTTCGAGTTCGATTAGTGCACTCTAAGAAAAGTAAAGATATCTTTTAGCTAGTGTAAATTGATCAATTCAGTTTCAATTGTATTGAATTAGTATAAATTGAATTTTTTTTATTAAAAAATCAGATCAAATCAAATTATTTATAAAATTATACGGAATCAAATGAACTCGGTTCAGATTTTCAACCCTACGAGACATACATGACTAACCTACGCCTATCCATACTGGATACTTCAGCAGCTAATAGCAGTGACGGATCATCAACACAATCGTCAGTCGCACACACTGTCCAACGGCTCATGACTGAGTGCTGATAAAAACAACTGAAGAAAAGAACGCCGAGCGCTAGGAGAAACAAGCGACTGCGAAACATTGAGCAAAAGTGAATGGAGGACAACCTGCCGGACAAACATAAAAAAAGATCGTCTTTACGCACCGCGTCTGTCGGGCGCAGAGTCATACGCTCGAATTTCATGACAACATCCGCACTAAGAAAAGTAAACGATATATATATCTTATATCTTAACGCGTATAGCTGATCGAAAATTTGATTTCCAGATTCAGTTTCAATTGTACTGCTAACACCTCTAGATTAAATTTGAACCCTTAGTTATTTTATTCCTTACAAAAATTCAGATTCTCAAATGCAAATATTTCATAAAATTTTAATACGCGAATCAAATGATAACTCGGTTCAGGAATTTGCTAATCTTTTGACCTTAATTTTTTAAATCATTTTTTGTTTCTAGGATTATGGACATTTTCTCCTGGTTCTCGTAACTAACACATAAAAAATGAATCCAAATCAAAAATTTTCTATTAATATTTTTATTAATAACTGGAAAACACCACTTGGAATTGTAACAAGGCAATGATAATTGACAACCTCTTACTGATAGAAAGGGGAAAAATGTAGTCATGGGTTGAAAAAAAGAAAGGAGGTGAAAAAGAGAAAAAAAAGATGAGAAACGGAAATAAAATGTTTCACGCGTTCGAGTTCGATTAGTGCACTCTAAGAAAAGTAAAGATATCTTTTAGCTAGTGTAAATTGATCAATTCAGTTTCAATTGTATTGAATTAGTATAAATTGAATTTTTTTTATTAAAAAATCAGATCAAATCAAATTATTTATAAAATTATACGGAATCAAATGAACTCGGTTCAGATTTTAGATTTTTGACTTAATTTTTTAAATCATTTTTGTTTTTAGGATTTGAATTTTTTCCGGTTTGTAATAACAAAAATTGAACCAAATCAAAATTTCTTTAATTTTTTATTAAAACTGAAACCACTTGAATTTTAAAAAATTAAAATCAAGACCAGTCAATTTATTTGGGTTCGATTGATTTTGTATGGTCAGCCCTAATTATTATTATATTACTCTTCTTTCGTCCATATATATATGATTATATGCTTGTAGTCTTTGTGGTAGTGTGGCTTTGACTAACAAGGTGAAGCCAAATGGCAAGATAGTGTGAGATGTTATTGAATATTATAAGGTAATGAATATATTATGTATTTTTCTGTTAAAATATTGAAAAAAAAAAACATTAATTGATTAATTTTTCATTTTTTTTTTCATATGATAGCTAATTTTTCAGTTTCTTGTTCATTATTTTTGCTCCAATTGTCAGCATTTTGCTTGTGGAAAGTGATGGTTTGAGCATCATTAATTTTTATTTTATCAATTATTGAGAAAATGAGAATTGAAAAGTGATGGTAGGGATAATTTTAATAATATGTTAGATTATTGATTAAAAAAAAAAAGTGCAAAGCTACTTCCAGATCCATCTTCTTGCCATTCCAAAAGAAGGTAGCCTTATTACATTTATAGTAATTATTGCTAATTGACAATGTGATTGTAAGTCTCTAATAAAATTAATTATTTCGTTATTTATTCTAACAATTATCAGTTGTTTTTTATATAGAAACCTAATAATTGATCATGGAATATCTGCTCTATTGCTCTGTCTTTTGCTCTGTCTTTTCATGAACAAAACAACCAGCCAACCGTTTTAACTGGAAAAAGATAAAGTTTAAAACTTTTGATTGCATTCTTTTTTTTTTTTAAAACCGAAAAAAAAGGACTATTAGGTATATTAGTCACTGCTTCTGTCGATTTAAATCGCGGATCAAGTGTTTAACGTCCCAATTTAAGACACTCTTATAGGACTCACTGATGGTTTAATCCAGTGTCTTCTTATATAATTTTGCTGATTCATGTGTTTTCTATGCTTGGATTCACTTTTTAGAACAAAACCTTTTGCCAGATCAATAGGATTCGATTACTGCTTTTCTTGTATTTTTCATTTATTTTTTAAACAAGGAATATATATAAATATAATAATATATATATATTACGTATATATATATAATTATATATATGGATTTTTTGTCTGATTTTTAAATTTTATTTATTATTTTAAATACTTGTGTTATAAAAATTTGATATATATGGATTTTTGGTCTGATTTTTATTTATTTATTATTTAAATACTTGTGTTATAAAATTTGTTTCCCTTTTAATTCAAACAATCCATTTTGCATTTGTTTTTATGGAGTCCACTTTTACATTATTTTAATAAAATTATAGTATTAATATATTTTTAAAGTGAAATTGCTACATATCAATAAGTTTAGGGTACCTTAGTTCAAATTAAGAGTGCAATTGCATTCTAAAAAAAAAGGATATAATTGTAACTAGATTAATAAATTTAGAATGCCAAAGAACAAAAATCAATTTAAAATGAAATTACAACTACTCAAACAGTTTAGGATTAAGAACTCTATATAGGGTGCGAAGTAGTAATGATAATTAATATATATTCTAATAACTAATTAAGCCCAATGTTGTATTAGTTTAATGGTAAATATGAAATAACTAAATCCACTCTTATATTATAGATTTTAACAATATGCTCACAAGTTTATTCTACTGATTCTATGCATATCAATTTTTGTAGAATCCAAACTTCCAATTTTCTTGCCCAATATTAAAAAAAAGGAAAAAAAAAAAACACACCATAATATTAGTCTGACGGTCTGAAAACGTATTATTATCAATCGATAAATCTTAATTTAGGCCTCGTTTTTATAAAATAACTAGCAGAAAAATATTTTAAACAATTTTCTATTGTTTGGGGCAATCAGGAAAAACGGAAAATACTTTTCATTAAAGTAGATATAATTTTAATTCATCACTTTATATTTGCACCCAAAAATTACTCTCTTCATGTTTGTCTTAGTAGGTAAATTATAGTTGATATTTTAAAATATCTAATTTTTTTGTATGCTAAAATTTTTAAAATATTATTTACTATTTGTTCATTATTTTATTGACAAAATACATGTGCAAACAAATTAGGATAAATATCTTATCGGAATAAAAATAGTGATGCTCATATATCTTGACATGATTTTGTAAAATATCTTCCGTGAATTTTATGGTTCATAATCATAGTTATATATTATTTTATAGAGTGCAAATATAAAACGGCAGAGTATAAACCTCCCCATCTATTTCAAGCCTAATATATTAAAATATTCCGAATGTAATATCATTTTATTTTGACTTTTCTGTCAATTTTATTATAATTTCGATCTTTTATAGCAATATCACCATCACTTATAATTAAGGATGAAATTACTAATAAAAAATATTTCCATCAATTTTTAGGTCATTATGTGATGCTAATAGTAATTTGGAACATAAAAATTTTCAAAACATTTTCATTAATCTATCCAATTAATATCACACAAATAAAATTTTTAAATTTTAAAATAAAAGTACTAAGTAATTAATTAATTAATAAATTTTTATTATTTATCTGAAAATCTCAAAGCATGCATAAAAATTAACTTAATAAAATATGATTTTCAATTACTGATTTTATTTTTATATTATATTTATGTTAAGGATCAGAATTTTCTAATTCTTCTAATTTTTTAGGTTGATAATATAATCAAATCACTTTTATCTAATAAAATAAATAAACGATTTCTTAACAATTTTAATTTCACATTTCAAATATTCTATTTTTCAATATATAAATTTATCACCCACTAGATGTGAACATAATTTAATAGTCAAAGAACATTTAATTATTATTATTATTTATTTAACAGTAAGATAATACTTAAAAAGAATGAAACTATTTTTTTATTTACGATCTTATCCTTAATTATAATTGAGTGTGCCAGTGCTATAAAATGTTGAACTTAGAGTGAAATTGATAAAAAATGTTGAACTTAGAGTGAAATTGATAAAAAGATCAAAACAGAAAAAAGTTATAAAAATTTACAAAGTTCAGGTATTCTAATATATTAGACCCGTTCATTATACGGAAGCAATTCATCGGTTGGGTTTCAAATTAAATGGAACCAATAAAACTTAAAACTGAATTTTTTTTAATCAAACTGTGTACAGAATTAAAATGTTCTATCCTAGTTGGTTTTTGGATAATTTTAACTTAATTTCTATAATCGAACTGAAAATCAAAGGCCGAAATTACCCAACGTCATAAATTAAATCAAATCGATTAAACAAGATAACTAAACTGAAATGATTAACCAAAAATTAAATTAAATTAGTTGAGTTCAACTTTTCGGTTTTAACTGCTCAGCCCCTAACTGCGATGACTGTTATTACTGTCATCCTCCCCAGTGCATGTTAATCTTGAAATTAGGAATTAATCTCAAGTTATTAACTTACCTTTCTTGTTAAACAAACAGATTTCGCTTATTTTTTTTAATTACTTGGTTATGTCCGTTCAAACGACTACTTAATAAAAATCTAGCCGGCCGAAGGCGGCTAGGAATGAAATGGAAATGACAAAATTGCCACTTGTCTTGTTTAAAATAGAAACTGATTGCTCCCTTTTAGTGAAGCTCAATTGATAATAAGCTAATTCTAACACTATCAATCTCATAGTTTGCAACTATGGGAGCATCATTAGGTTGCTGTGCCAAAAAGAAGATTGATGATCATGGGTAATTAATCTTGATTAGCACTTGTTATTTTTGCTTTTAAAACTTAATTTTTGTTGTTTTCTTCTAAATAATCATGATATTAATTATATGTTTGATTTATGAATAGGGCTAATGTACTTCCTGGAGGTAGCACTTCATGGAGGATGTTTACATACAAGGAATTGCATATAGCAACTAATGGTTTTAGTGAAGACAATAAGCTCGGAGAAGGCGGATTTGGAAGTGTCTATTGGGGCAAAACTAGTGACGGTATTCAAGTAAGATTACTGTTAATTGTTTTAGTAGCGTTAGTTGTTTGAATAACTTCTCATAAAACGCTAAAAGCTGATTGTTATAAAGGTAATCTTTTATAAAACGATACCTTAAACCTTTAATGATTGTTCAAACGCTATGTTACAAAACACTATGAAAAATAGTGTTTAGCATTTTGGCCGGTCATAACGTTAAAAAACTACTTAAAAAGCTGTTGTCGAATACAACTTTAATTTTTTTAAAGATTCAGTCTATCCGATCCGGAACTATTTTTTGTAAATTATCCAAATATATACAATTAGTTTGTAAATGTGAATAAATTTGGTTTATCATAATTTTGTAGATTGCGGTGAAAAAGTTGAAAGCAATGAATTCAAAAGCAGAAATGGAATTTGCTGTGGAAGTAGAAGTTCTTGGAAGGGTTAGGCACAAGAATTTGTTGGGGCTTAGAGGATATTGTGTCGGAACTGACCAAAGGCTTATAGTGTATGACTATATGCCTAATCTAAGCTTGCTTTCTCATCTTCATGGCCAATTCAGTGGAGATGTCCAATTAGATTGGAGAAGAAGAATGAAGGTCACTATTGGTTCAGCAGAAGGCATACTGTAAGCTACAATAACACCATATCATTTTTTTTTTTTCAGTTCAATTTATTAAATTATTAATTGGATATTAATGCCGAATTGTAGTCACCTGAAGTAACATAAATTGACTGATCAAATAACAATAGTCTTAATTTAATCAATTAGTTTTATAATATTATAATATATTGACACGAATTTTTATATAGTCACAAAAATTAATTTAAATTACTTAATTATAATTTTATATATGCTCTAATGTTATTATTAGGTACTTGCACCATGAAGTCACACCCCACATAATCCACAGGGATATAAAAGCAAGCAATGTACTATTAGATTCAGATTTTGAGCCCTTAGTTGCAGATTTTGGGTTTGCAAAGCTAATTCCAGAAGGTGTAAGTCATATGACCACAAGAGTTAAGGGCACTTTAGGGTATTTAGCACCTGAATATGCAATGTGGGGCAAAGTATCAGAAAGCTGTGACGTTTATAGCTTTGGAATTCTTTTACTTGAGATTCTAACTGGAAAAAAACCAATAGAGAAATTACCTGGTGGAGTTAAACGGACAATAACAGAATGGGCCGAGCCGTTAATCGTTCAAGGTAGGTTTAAAGACCTTGTTGACCCTAAACTTAGAGGAAATTATGATGAAAACCAGCTTAAACAAGCTATTAATGTTGCTGCCTTATGTGTGCAAAATGATCCGGACCGTCGCCCTAACATGAAACAAGTTGTTAGTATGCTTAAAGGTTATGATTTTAAAAACAAGGCTATGCCCACAAGAATTGAAAGTGTTAGATATAATAAAGAATTGCTTGCATTAGACCAAACTAGTGACGATGAGGAGGAGGATGGTGGTTACCGCCGCGGTGATGGTGAGGTTGAGGAAAGTAGTTATGGTGTTTTTGGTGCTATGGAATTGCAGAAAATGCAAGATCCTTGCAGAAAATTTGGGAGAAAATGAAAATGACTCAATATATTTAGGAGACGATATTAATGTATAAGTCTCTTGTTTTTGTCAATATATGAATGTATACATGTTTGCTTTATAGTTTATGGCAAGTGGAAAGTCATGTTCTTATTTTAAATATTATTTGAATATATATTTTTAATGATATTTTTTAAGATATATAAATTAGGTATTATGGATTGTGATTTATTGTTAAAAAGAAAATTCAAAATGAGAAATTTACTCAAAATTTTAGAATTTATTATTAGAATGTGTTAATAGAAATAATGTTTTGTAAATATGAAAACATATATTCAATTTCCATAAATCGTATTTTATTGAAAGGATTAAATGCCTTTATACGGATTACACCTCTTGATTAAAAAAAAAAAAGGAATAATTTTATATGTGAGGCTAACTTGTACTCGGTAGAGAAATGGACAAGACTTAGAACTCAACCGTTGATGTCATTATCTAAAAGAAAAATAAAAAACTTAATGGTTGATCTGAATTTTCAAAATTTAACTATTAGATTATTTAATAATCTATATGTGGCCCATGTGATTAAAGGGTTGGTTCTAATTAAGGTGGCCTAAGATGATGGTTATTGGGCTTAATATGATGGTTATTGGGCTTAATGAATAAGAGTCAGTTAGGTTTTAATACCTTCCTTTGCCTTATAAAAGTAAAAGGAATCGACAACTTAGGTTGAATACAGAAAGAAAACAAATTAGAGAGTGTGACGACTGCTTCAAACACATACGGTGATAGCTTGTTTGAGAGAGCTTATAAAAGAAACTCCTGTAGCTGTTAATTATTCTCTGGCCATTGAGAAAAAACTTACGGACAAAAGGTCAGAGGAAGAAACATAGATCTGCTGTTACGGTGAGAATCGAATTGCCTCACCGAGATAACCCATAACATAGATTTGCTGTTATGGATCAAGATACACTTCTGCTTATTGTCTATTTCTATCAAACAAATTTTATGAACAATAAATCTGGACTATATTAAAGATCCTCACACTATTTTTGAGTATATAAATCTAAGTTCAAATAGTGTATTTTAAATGGGTAACTAAGTCGTTTCTAAATTTACTCCAATCACCAAATCAATTATCTCACTCTAATATTCACCGTAATGTTAAAACCGAAAACGAATTGAGAAATTTGGCATTGAAAGATATCCTCCTGCAAAAGTATGCAATTATTGCAACTTTTTTCTATACACTTCACAGGAAAATTTGAGATGAAGAAAATGCTCCAAGGTTAGGTAATGTGGTAATGAAAAATAGTAATATGATGAGTGAAGCTTCTAACTAAAGTTGCAGCAAAGCATTGGAAATTGGAGTGTCAATTGTGAGAAAAGCAACCCATCCACTCCAAGAAAACCTACCATATAAATAAATGGCATCATGTGACACACAAGTAGAAGCACGAGCTAGGGTTGAATTGAATGATCAAAATAATGTGTTTTGTAAAACTATTTATCTAAATAATGTGATTTTGAAACTGTTTATCAAAATAATTCAGTTTTTGTTGATACATTTGAACAAAACATGAAAATGTATATAGTATAAGTGGATTCAGTAGAACTAAAAAGCAATTTGTTAAAAATATATTAAAATATTGTAGCTGATTTCGCTTGTTCCTATAAGTAGATTAATGTATTTGACATATATCGAATCTGCTTAGAGTATATACAGATTCAGACTGTGTTCGACAATAGCTTTTTTAAATAGCTTCTATTTGAATTAGCTTTTAGAGATTAAGGTAGCGTTTTATAATAAGTTAATTTATGTAACGTTTAATTTTTAATATTTTATAAAAAATTATTTAAACAGTTAATAATAAACGCTATTAAAATAACTAATAATTAATTTACCAAATAGACGCTCTGTAGCTAACGTTTTAATATATTTTTATACATTTACATATTAATAAATTATATATTACAAAATAGAAATACTGTGCTAACGTAATATATATATATTTTATACATTTACATATACAAGTGTATACAGGATATATATATATATTACATTTACAATTTACATATACAAGTGTATACAGGTTTTACGTGTAAAAAATATTAAACTATTGCAACCGAACACGCTTGTACTTTAATAGCATTTATTTTAATATTTCTTACACAAATCGCTTTTTGATTACACCGAATCTTCTTGTACTATATATATTTTTATGTTACTCGAATATATGTAAAAAAATGCTAAAAAAATATTAAAATAAAAAATCACAATAATAAAAAATTATTTTTATGATAAATAGTTTTGAGCAAGTTTGACAAAATAAATAAGTAAAATAAGTAAAAATTGAAAAATTGACTTTGTAGAAGGAAAATGGTAGTTTTATCATAAAAAGTTAGAGTACTTAATTTTGTGAAATTCATTAGGAAATTCTACCTATTTTTGTGGAATTTTGTATAATTATATTCAATTCCATAGAATTGAATTCCTAGAATTGAAATATCAAATTTTTCATTCCAAATACAAAAATATGGATTTCTAAATGAATTACACAAAATCATGAAATTCATTTATTTCAAACAAGAAGTTAAATTTTAAAACTGAACTAAACCAAATCAAATTCAAGATTTAGATAGTTTGAGTAAATTTCATATAATTTTTATAAACCCCTATTAGTTTGCTTTGCAAGAAAGCTTTCAAATTGAACTATAAACACTTCTATTATGAGCAACTTCACTTATGGGTGGATAAAAATTAGTCAAAATAATCAAACTGAACCAGACGGTTTGATTCAATTCATTTTTGAAAATATTCCATTTGATTTTTTTTTTGTTTTATATATACCAAGAAAATCAAAATTTTCTCCAATTTGATTCAACTCTAGAAAAATTATAAAAAAATAATTTCTCCCATAAAATTTAACGAATTGAATCGATTTGGTTTATTATCAAACCGACCGGATGCCTAGCTCAAACTTCATATTAAAACCCATAAACGAGTGTTGAAAATCATTTATACAAAATCAATTAGCTTATATGTGTTAGATCTGATTCTCAATAAATTAGAAGTACTTTAATTATTTCATTATGAACAAATACAGATTCACTTCTAAACGTTGACTAAGCTAAAGGATTCACTATAGTTTGAGAGTATCCAAACTGAAAAATCTTGATTTTCTCTTTTCCTTTTCTCCTTCTCCATTGAAAGTTAAGTATAAAGCTCGTCCAATAAAAATGAAGAAAAAGACACATAGAATGTGTACATTTCAAGGATATTTTCTAGATATTATATATAGTCACGTTCTCTTGGAAATATATGAAGGTATCTAGCTATGGTAGTTGCTACTTCACTGTAATGCTTGATATCAAGACAAAAACTATTATGCCATATACTTGGAGTGTATGGTCCTAGACAAACAAAAATTGTCCCACTCTGACATGAAAAAAAGAACATCTCTTGCTCTCCGGGAGTAAAATGGGACGAAATGGATCATTTTTCCCCTTAATCATAGATTTTGAGCTCAAGCCTTCAGTATAGAGTCTCTTTAAACACTTAGAAGGAAATGTTTTTGCCCCCTGTTCAATAATTTTCTTTCACAATGGCCTTTTTATTTTAATTTTTTTGTTGGCTCTTTCAATTATTTGCTTTCAATTCTGTATTTTGATTGTGTTGTATTTTTTTTTTAAAATATATACGTTATTGTTGTTTTTACTGGAGAGCAAACAAAAAAAAAAAAAAAAAAAAAAAAAAAAAAAAAAAAAAAAAAAAAAAAAAAAAAAAAAAAAACTCTCTTCCTCTCTCTTCCATGTGGAAAGCAAAAGAAACCGTTAGTTTCCTCCCAACGTTTCATAATTCATTAATCGATGATAAAAAGGTAAGGCTTCTTCTCCTTTTTGAGAGGCAAATAACTTCTCCTACCAAATCCAACAAAGCAATACATATTTTTAGGCCAATTTTGAAGTTTTGGCTTAAACACCAAGACTTATCAAATGCATCTCTATCACCTTTGCTTATACCCCAAAGAACCCAACCATAAAACACTTAATTCTACTCTCAATTTCTTTTAAAAAGCCTCACTTTAGCTAATCACTTCCACCCTTCTTTATGCTTCTTGAACAAGAATAATATAACTATATGTTGATTGTGGCCTCACTCTCTCTACTAACCTTAATCATTTTGCTACTCTTCTGTGCTTATTATTAAGCTCTTGAGTTTCAATATATGCCTTCCATTGTCAAAGAAGCTCAAGAAAACCAAATATAACAAAAAGAATGATCTCTTCTTCTCCTGCTAAAATTCTCATAGGCATTCCTTTAGATCCAAATGAGAGTAAAGATCTTCTTTCATGGGCAATTACAGTTCTTGCTCGTCCCAACGATGAGATTATTGCCATTCACATTCTTGGTTAGTATCTTTTTATTTGCTATGATTTAATTTGTTATATTCAGTTCATTTTCTTAGTTTAGGCTGGTTGGGCAACAGCTTTTTAAGTATTTTTTCAGCGCTCTGCAACCTGTTGCCTAGCGTTTAAATTAGTTTTTTAGAGGTTAAAATAGTGTTTTATAAAAAGTTAATCCTTGTAATTTTTAATTTTTAGCATATTTTATGAAAAGCTATAACTACCAGCTACACGCTACTAAAGCAACTAACAGCAATCAAAACAGTTAATTTTGTCTAACAGATCATTAATGTTTATTTAAAAAATGCAGTTGGTGATGGGAGAAAGAAGCCAAAATTGATAAAGAGAAGACAAGAACACATTCGCCAAGCGAAAGCACATGTTATTTCTGTGCTAGGAGAATTTGCCAGGACTTGCCAATCTAAGCAGGTTATACATTATTTTCGTTAACTTGCTTCTTGTTTCTTCAACAATGTCATATGATTTCTTGATTGATAAAGCAATTCCAGGTAAATTTGGAAGCTAGAGTAGGCTTTAGCTCTAGCATTGCTAAAGGCCTAATTGATGAAGCAAAATCCATTTCTGCTGAGTATCTTCTTCTACGCGGCTTGAGAAGCAAATCGAATAGGTGAGAATTAAACCATCAAATTAATTAACCATACCATGCTTGGTTCTGAGAATTCCATTTAATCTTTTATGTGATTTTTTTAAATGATGGATACGTAATTTGCATTAATCATCATCAATGAGATCTAATTATTCAATTTCTGCCATAATCTAAAATCACCGTTAATGGAATCACTCTAAAGATATAACTGTAATAAAAAAATTTTAGGAATCCAGGAATAGAAAGGGAGACTTGAATTACATAGGTGAGAGTAGCCCAAATAATTATCTAGGAATTAAGAATTTTACTAATTAAAGCATGACCTTCCAAATAAATCAACTTCCTTATTAAAATGATTTTTAATCTTTTTCTAATTATAATCCTATACATTCCTTCCTGCACATAAAAATATGTTTGTTTCCTTTTCATTCGTCCCAAATTATAATTTTATTTTCCTCTTTTGAGTGAGGGTATTATTCTACTTTACTCTATTTAATTCGCATCTCTATTAAGAAATACACTACTATTGTCTATTACAATTAATCAAATTGTTAAGAATCTCACATCGTCTAAATACTAAATCTATCAAGAGCATATCACGGTGGCAAGTTAGTTAACTAATTGGTTAGTACTAACCTTTCAGCGTTGGTTGGCTTAAGCTCACATTGCACATTTTCACCTAATAATTAGCTCTAACCTCTTACTCAATTCACCTTTATCCTTTCAACTGTAACACAAATCTTGAAGAAAAAAAAACATTATTATTATTATAATTGCCACTTAGGTTGGTTAGTTCTACGACTTTGATAAATGGATCATTATAATCTAATATAAGGTTTATTAGGAAAATTTTAAGTGGAAAATTATGATTTAGCCATATTATTTATATAAAAGTCAAATTAGGTATACTATTATGATACAAAGGAAGTATATGAAATCATCCATCATATAAGGACATTATGCGAAAAAAAATAATATCAAGATTTAAAATAAAGAAAAAAAAGACCTTATAACAAATTTGTCTACTCTTATGGTCCGAGACAATTTTGTGTCACAATGTAAATGGGTAAATTAATAATTCATGTCAACTGATTCGTTTAAATAAAAAAAAAATCAGTAATTCATGTAAAAGAAAAACAACCTAAAAATTTTAGTTATCTTCAAGTCTTATTTATCCTTTAATAAACAAATTGAATAAAATCAATTTTCTGTGATCCAAATCAGGAAACGTGATGTATTTAATTACATATACTCTAGTGAATTACAATAGCATTAACCCTTTTTGTTTTCTTCTTTGGCATCCATTAGAACTTGGCATGAAGCTTTAAAGTATTGTTTTAAGCATGCCCCGGAAGGCTGTACAGTCGTTTCAATTGGGAAATCAGAACATCCTCGAGAAATTTCAGATTCAGAAAGTTCAAGTTGGTTAAGCAAGAACAATAGCAACGGTGAGAAAGATACAGAATCAAAAATAAAGATTCAGAACCCTTCACCAAGAACTGTACTAGATGAACTAGATGGAGAATCTCACAGCACAGAAGATGATACTATTAGCTTTGAGGGCTCAAGCTCTACAGAATCATCTTCTCCTTCCTTACCTTCAAAGTTAAAACCCGAATCAAAATCAAGAAAACAAATGTATGGATGTAAGATTATCTCTTCTTTCTTTACTTCATCTTTAAGAAAAAGAACTGCAAGTTTTTCGAAAAAAGAAAAGCAACAGCCTTTGCTCAGGTGCTTTAGCTATGAAGAGATTGCAAATGCCACTAATAACTTCCATACAGGTAATTTAATTCTCATTCTTTCTTAATTAATGTAATAAGATGTAATGTAATATTTAGTAATTGACGTTTCTTGGTTGGTTTGAGTGTTGTCAGATAATATAGTAGGGAGAGGAGGGTATGCAGAAGTATACAGAGGAGATCTTTGTGATGGGAGAAGAATTGCAGTGAAAAGATTAGCTAAGGACAACAAAGATGCTACGAAGGAGAAAGAGTTTCTTACAGAATTGGGCATTATTGGACATGTTTGTCATCCTAATACTGCAAGCTTGGTTGGATGTTGCATCGAAAATGGGCTTCATCTAGTTTTCAATTTCTCTCAAAATGGAAATCTGGCCTCTGCTTTGCATGGTAAAATAATTTAGAATCCTACTCTTTTGACATTTACAATTCATAGCTTGTTATAAACAAACTATTTTTGGATGATCATCAGGAAAAACAAGCAAATCCCTGGAGTGGGAAGTGAGATACAAGATAGTACTTGGAGTGGCTAGAGGTTTGCACTATCTTCATAAATGCTGCAAGCACAGAATAATACACAGAGACATCAAAGCCTCTAATGTTCTTCTTGGACCTGATTATGAACCAGAGGTGAATTACTAAAAATTAAATTGGAAGCAAAACTCCTTTTCCTTTCCTTTTTATTTTTTTTTTATTGGGTTTCTTTTTGTTTATGCAGATAACAGATTTTGGGCTTGCAAAATGGCTTCCTAACAAGTGGACTCACCATGCTGTGATACCAATTGAGGGAACATTTGGGTACTTAGCTCCAGAGTATTTCATGCATGGAATTGTTGATGAGAAAACTGATGTTTTTGCATTTGGAGTTCTACTTCTGGAGATTATATCTGGAAGGAGGCCTGTTGATTCATCTAAGCAAAACCTTCTCTTATGGGTATGCAACTGTTCATCCTTCTGCCAATCACCTACTTGGCTCTATAATTAAATATCCAGAGATATACTATCACTAAAAAATGGCTCTAAGAAGGATAAATGTACGCAGTCTTCCTCGAGTTTTTACAGAAAGACTGTTTTCGTAGCAGGAATGACCTCCAGGTCATGAGTAATTTTACTGTTACATCAAAATCGTGCATTAATTTAAGTTAATTGGTTATAATTAAAACGACTTATTTCTATGTATTATGTGTAGGCAAAACCTCTAATGGAATCTGGAAAAATAGCAGAACTAGCTGATCCAAAGCTAGAAGGCAAATTTAATGAAGAAGAAATGTACAGAGTAGTACTAACAGCTTCGTATTGCGTGAGACAATCCTCGATATGGCGTCCATCAATGAGTGAGGTATTAGAGCTTCTAAAGAACGGAAATGATTCTCAAGTTGCAAGAAGTTGGAGAATGCCAAAGTTTGCTTCTGATGAATTAGATGATTACTCCATGGTTTTTGGATATGAGGTTCCTGCTGATATTGCTTTGGAGGATTATTTGTAGTTGCTTTGCTTTGTCTTAGAGATCATTAATTTTCCATTTTAGAAACCCTTTTCAATTGGAAAAGTAGATTTGAGTAATGGGTTTGATTTCTTGTGACAAGAAATATATATATACAGTGGATTTTCAAATGAATATTCTCATGCGGGTTTAGATATGAAATTAATATCGAACTGAATGCTTAAATTTTCTGAAAAACACTTATCTAAACTAGATTTATAGATCTATTAATTAAATAAATCAATAAAACTAAGCATTTTTATTAAAAGGAAATTTTTAATTTCATTTATTTGGTTTATAAGTGGGCCATGACTCGATCTAGGCAAGTTGTTTTTAAAATTGATATATATACTTTTATGACTCTAAAAAGAAATCTGAATCAAGACATTAATCCTAAGGTCTCTCTATCTCTGTTGAAACTCTATGGCTGGTTCAAAAATTTTTTTTTTTCTAAATTTAAATTTCTTTTCTTCAATGGTTGTGAAATTAAAAGTAGTCTCAAATTAAATGAATTTTAGAAGTATAAAGAAAACATTAACTTTTAGTTTTTTTTTTTTTCAAACTTTATTTTATAAACATTAAACAATTGTTTTAATAGAATTTGTTTGACAATAAATTTTTATTTTATTTTTATTTTTTACTTAAGTTTCTTCTCTTTTACATATTTCAGAATCTACCCAATCCAAAGTAGAACATAAATCAAAATTGCTCGAATTGACACTCCTAGTTACAAGCCTAAAATTAATATTACACATACTTGGAGCCTCAGAGAAAAAAAAAATTTATTTGAGCATACATAATTTTTAAAATATTTTTAACTTCATCAAATTAGTCAACTTTAAGTTAAATTTTGTGAAAATAATAATTTTCAAATGAAATACAAATTTTGCATATTCTATTTTAGAATTTATTTATAAATATATGTTTTTAATAAAATTCATTGATGACAATATCAATTTAGATTATTTTTTTATGTTCACAATTTTCCCCTTAAACATCTAGATTGGTTTCATACTTTTACTAAATAATTTTTTATAACAATTACCAAAAAAATTTTATTCATTTTGGATTCCAATTTCAGCAATAATTTTTATTTGTTTTATTTTCCTTATTTCCTAATAAGTTTACAACTTAAATTATATTTTAATAAGTATTCCTAATTTATTTGTTTCCTTGTTGGGTTGTAATTTATTTCCATTTAATTTAGAATATCTAAATCTATAAATACCCATCTTCAAAAAAAAAAAAAATCTATAAATACCCATCTACTATTTGAACTTCTGAGATTAATATAGACTCTGTTATTTATAAACCACAATATCAAACTGACACAAACATAGGAAAGTATAACTACAAAGTAAGCTCAAGCATCAAATAACTTCCAGTAGAGGTCAAATTGCCTTTCCATCTATTAAATCAGGTCTAATGAAGGCTTAAAATCTGAATCAAAATTCTGGTATTAGTGCCATAATGATAGTTTTTGGCAGCCAAAAACTCGAGCAAATGCCAATCCAGAAGAATCGCAATCAAAACTAGTTGAATGTAAAAACCCCCTAAGATACGGTTCAAGACATACCTTTCGACAACCAAAAAGCACTGATCTAGTATCACAACCATTGCTATGGATAACATAATAAGATAAGGTAACAACAGTATAATCCCCGCAGTAGCTTTTATGCTTCTCCTAAATGCCTTTGAATAGCATATGTATGTACATACGTACATGCATACATACATAGAGACGTATCTACATACATCACAGGTATTTATGATAGGAAGTATATATATTTCACTAACCAAACTTCAGCCATAGAGTTTATGACCCGCTTCACCCGAGATCAGGTACAGTGAAGAACTCATCATCTTCATCAGAAATGTCAATTCTAGGCTTCTTATTAGGCATGTGAGACTTGGTAGTTCTGTATGAGTTAACATTGAGTGATGGTGAAACTGTTAGTTGGGGGACTTCAGCTGCTGCTAATGCCTCTTGAGGAAGTTGCTCACCAAAAATGCCCATATCAGCTAACCACTGGAACTCTCCCAATTCAAGTTGCTCTTTCTGCTGCAAGAAGAACCGAAAATGTTAAGAGAATGAGGAATTCAGATTTCAAAAATAATGCTTAATCAGCAGAGAAAAGAAAAACTAGCTTGCATCAGTCAATTCGGAGCTTGACTTGTTAATCACTAGAAATCAAAAACCAAGTGCGGAGCGATGCTTGCATAATTCTTTTACCAGATAATCCATAAATCAATTTTGTTACCTTATCAGTGGAAGATTCAAAATCTGAGAATCCAATCAAGTCATCAACAACCCACGGAGAGCTGCAACTCGATGGCTGTTGAACAGGCAATTTCATGGAAGTTTGTTGTGCACTCTGATTGGGTGGCTCTAAACAACTCTTCTTAGTGTCCTTGGTGCAACTAGAGCCTAAAGCAACTCGGATTCCAGTAGCTAGGAACCGCTGGTGATTTGCAGAGAGGCTACCAGCTGGATGGATAGATTCATCACAATCCTGGCATAAAAGAGCTCTATCTTCAACACAGAAAACAAAAGCTGCCTTTTCCTGTGCATCAAATATAAGAAGGAAACAATCAGTGATATAAAGTTCACAGATTTCCTCTCAAATCCTACACTTCTCAGCTTGATAAATAATAACAATAATAAAAGATCAAATCAAAATATTTGAATAAATTTAGTATCATTTCCGGCTTTTTTTTTTAATCTATACTAAAAGTTTGTATCTTGGAGAACGGGTTGATAACAGAGGAAAGCAACTTCTTATTTCCATGCCTTGTTGTAGCAAACAGTTTTTCTATTTTAAAACACCAAATAACACCAATAAAGATATCTTAATAATAGATTCTCATTTTCACACTAGTGAAAAAGAAAAAACCAAAAACAACAGCAGTATGGATTTGTTTTTACAAAAGAATAAGAATTAAAGATGTTTGAACCATAGTCTAAGGTATAAGTGAGATTATACTACACCTTTTTAATAGGTGAAGTTGGACTCAAACAAGTATCCACATAGAATCATGAATCTATTCAATGTAAAAAGCTATATAGACAAACCCATCTAAATTCATTCATTTCAAATCTTTGCTATAAAAGTACTACCTTGATGCCATAATCCATATTATGGGAGAGGTGGATTTGATGATTATGTGCAAGTGTAATGTTGGATGCACTTGCCATACCAAATAGGCAAGGGGGGTTCCAGCTCTAGATATGGCATGTTGAGGTAATTGTATGAAAACATCATCTTTGAACTGTTACTCTCTCAACAGAAAGATATTTTGATGATGTTAGGCAACTTGCGCTATAATTCTGGCGCTTGTGATGTCACCAAAAACAACTTCAGTCCAATTTAAATAACATTAATCCCATTTATTTATTTTTCACATTGATAAACCCCATCAACGAAGAAGAAGACATAACAGCGAGCAACAAAATGCTGCTTATCACATTCTTATATTGTTAAACAAGTTGTCTCACATAAAAATAAAAATACGGGAGTAAGAAAAGTTGTCTCACATGATTAAATAAGTATTTATTAAGGGACAACAGTATGCATTTTGTTGTTAAGACACCAAGTTACAAATGACCAGATCATAACCGAAGGACATCTGCTGCCTTAAATGACATAAGCTGCTACTACAAAATGATCACTTTTCTTAAAGACCATCTAAATTGCCAAACATGTACAACATAATTTCATGGACACGATATGCAATATACAGACTCTCTCTAGTGGTCAAATTTTTTGTCAAGACATCAATAATAAGAATTTTCAATCTATGGTCATCATTCAAGTGAAAAAGATCTCAATCATGCCTGCTTATGAATGATTACTTATATGTTCTTTTTTAAAAAAAACAAAAAAAAAAAAAGTTGAAATTTGCTCAAGGGAGAGAAAGCTAATGTTTTTCCTTATAGGTTCATATAAGCAAATCCCACTAATTTGGATTTAAGGCTTAGTAAGTAGGCTTCAGAACCCTTATGCCTTTCCCTTATCCGTCTTCTTGGAAAAAAAAGTGCACAAAGCATAACAGGAAACTAAATTTTCTGTTCTAATGACTTCCAACACCAAATCAATAAAACAGGCAGATAGAACCAGTAAGTGACACTAAAATAATACTAATAAAAGGACATAAATAAAATAAAATCAAAACTTGTAAATAGAAAGTATAAAAATAATTTTAACTCACTTGGCATATGTCACAAGGAGGCAACTTGTTGGAGAGGCATTGAAGAAGAAGCCTCTGGTGCTTACTTGCAAGTTTGTTGGCTGCATGCACTTCTATATCACATTTTGCACAAAGAGCTGCCTCATCTGCACAACAAATCACTGTAGCTGGAGCTCTTTCACACACGTCACACTGAATCTTCATATTCTTTAACACAGATCTTTAACTTTACAAATTTTGCTACTTTAAGCCGCTACCCACTTAGTTTTTTTCACCCCTTCAGTAGAAAGACTCAAAAGATGACCATAAAAATGAAATAGTAGAAAAATCTTTCAAGAAACCATGAGACACCCACATTCAGGAGAGTTTATCGAAAAAAAAAAAAAAAAAAATCTTTTGTATCTTGAGTCTTAGAAAGAAAATTAAAGAAAAGGATATAAGAAATCACAGAGAGAGAGGAGAAAAGGAAGGAAAAGAAAAGAAAGAAGACAAAGTACAGGAAAATATAAGAGAAAGGAGAAGCACTGTTTGTTAACAAGGGAGAATATCAGACTGGAGGGTGATTGGCGGAGAATCCAAGAGGAAGAGAGCTTGAAGATAAGAATTAAGAATATGGAAATCAAAATCAAGAAATGTGGTCGATACAACTAAGTTTCGTGGGGTCGACAATGTGTGGTTGTGGTGATTGTCCAGCGAGCAGCAGCTATGTCCTTGGAAAATTTTCAACGTGTTGCTTTTATAGTCGTCGGCCCGAGTCTCTTTTGATAAGGGAGGGAATGAATCCGATTTAATTAAAAAAAAAAAAAAAGAAAAGTATCTTTTTGAAATTTATTTTAATGTAATTTAGCTTTATATTATTTCAAAAACTTAATATATTATTTTCAGTATATTAGATATCTAAGGATTTTAATTTTTTAAAGACTTAATTCTTTTCATATAAAATATGTTTCATGGTTTCTAATGTTTTGAATGTTTAAAAAAAATATTAACTTTCTCAAAAAAAAAAAAAGAAATTTCTTAATTAAAGAAAAACTAAGTAAAAGTTGAGATTTTTCATTCAATTTTGTCCTTGTATTGATTACCTATAGTTGAAGTGTAAGCTAAACTATGGTAAGAAGACAACTGTGTTAAAGGTACAAATGCAAAAATATTACAATAAAATATTAATAATAAATGTAATTAATGCGTGACGTGACATATAGCACAAGAAACAAAACTATCAACATCCGCTTAACCAAAATAATGATATTTGGTTGCAGGTAACTAGATAACACATAGCATGCATGTATGTTATTTATTAGTTTTTTTTCTTTTATTGAACATTACAGTGACATACTCTCTCAGCCTCATTTTGTTTGCTTATTTATTTTTTAAATGTTTTAAAATATTTATAAGATTTTTAAATTTATACATGTGAATAATTATTATTCCTATGATAATCTTTATGATCTTTCATTAAATGAATTATTTTTATTAATATTTTAATAAATTAAGGGTAAAAAGGATAAAATAATTTTTATTGACTAAATTCTTAATATGTGTATTTTATCAAATCACGCAAATAAAATGGAATTGAAGTACTATTATATTATCTTCCTTTTAATTTCGGATTTTCAAAGACCAAAACCCAAAGGTGTTCTTGATGAAGATAAATAGATAAATAAAAAAAAAGAAGAAGAAATAACAAATAATTTTTCAAGATTATATTTCCATATTTAATATTGTTTAAGCTATTTTACAATTTACTCTTTATTGATGTCTACATCCTCGTAGCTATATATTCCCTCTGTCTTATTTTATTTATTTTTTTTTAGATGTTTCAAAATATTTATAAGGTTTCTAAATTTAGATATATAAATATTTATTTTTTTCATTATGACCTTCATGATTGTTTATTAAATAAAGGAATTTTATTAATATCTTAATGAGTTAAGAATAAAAAAGACAAAATAAATTTTCTTAACTAAATTCTTAACATGCGCGTTTTGTGAAACCATACAAATAAAATGAACGACGGAGTAATATTTAATAAATATTGTCACAACAAAATGGCCCAAGTCCAAAAGTGAGGAAAAGGCCGTGGCCTGCCAAGTCCATGAGGAAGATTCTATTTCAATGGGCCATTGTTTTAAACTCATCTAAAGTTAGAAGTTTTTAACTATAAAGCCCATAAAAACCCTAATGTCGAACAGTTGGACTCATTGTTTGTTTAAAAGCCCATGAAAACTAAACAATTACATCCATTCAGTTTTTTTTCTTGCAAATTTGTAAGGGCGGTAGGAGACTTTCCTTCTACATTTTCGGCTTTGGCCAATTTCGACCCTTTGATTTTCCAAAAACCTCAAATTAATCCAAAGATTCACCTTCAACCCTTTTATATTAGGCAATTAAATTGTCATTGCTGTTGCGACTTCCACGTTGGTAGCCTTACCTTAGTTGGGACCTCTGTTGCTGCTACTCAGCAGTGGAGCTAGGATAATTATTTTAATACAGCCGAACAAAATTTTTTTAACTTTTTTAGGGGACTGAATATAATTTTTTATATTTTAAGGATTTTTTATATTGTAAGGATCAAAATATAATTTTTCACAATGAAAATTTTTAAAAAATTTTTTGGGGTAGCCGAGGCAGGCTCCCTTAGGCCTCGGTTAAGCTCCGCTCCTGCTGCTACCTTCAAGGTTGCAATCTCCATCATGGATGCCGTTAAGATTGTGTCCTCTAAAAAGAAGTTCACGGGTGACGTTAAACTAAAGAAAACCTTTTAGACCTAATTGTACTTCTTAAAAATCACGTAGACCAAAATGGCCTTTAAGCTTTACCTTTTTCTTTGTATAAGTTCTTACATTATACACAAGTCTTTTTCTTTATCAGGAATGATATATTACATCAATATATAGATTACACCAGGTGTGTTTACTCACGGAAAACAATTTTTTTATTTTCTGTTTTCTATAAAAACAATTTTATTAGAAAATGAAAAATTAGAAAGCAGAAAATGGAAAATGCATTTACTTGGTAACAATAAAAAAATTATATTTTAATTTAAACACTTTACAAACATTATTCATAACTTTCATAATTAAAATAAAATATTATAAAATAACTTTAAAATTTTTTTATTTTTTAAATTTTTATTATCAATTATTTATAATAATATAGGAAAGCAGGACAAAGGGAAAAATGCACATTTACTTGGTAACAATAAAAAAAATTATATTTTAATTTAAAACACTTTACAAACATTATTCCATAACTATCATAATTAAATAAAAATATTTATTAAAATAACTTCTAATTTTTTATTTTTTGAAATTTTTTAATTATCAAATTTATTTATAATCTAATGAATATCAATTTTTATCTATTTTGTAAATTTTTTTAAAAAATAATAAAGGACTATAACTATATTTTGTATAATTAAAATTAATTATATATTAAAGGCATAATATAATTTATATGTTTATTTAAATATTTTTTATTTTCCAAGTAAAAAAATGGTAGTATAGAAATAAATCCTATTTTAGATATTATAACCTTCACATGTATGAAAAGCCTTGTCACTTTTATAGAAATGAAAAAAAAAAAACAAAAAGTTTATTGAAAATATATTCAATAAAAATGTTTTATAGAAAAAATTATTTATAGATATTATAACTTCAAGTATGAAAGTGTCATTTTATAAAAATGAAAAAAAGTTGAAAAATATGCATTTTGTTATAAAGAAAAACCGTAAAAAACAACTTAAAACTGTTTTCCAAATTTCAATTAAATTTAAAAAAATTCAGAAACTATTTTCTAATTTTCCAATAGAAAACTGATTGATTTGAATATAAAATTCTATTTTCCAGTTTTATTAAAAAATTTTTATAGAAAACTATTTCAATTTTCTACTGTTGAACATACCCTGAATATTTAGAGATGCTCTCATCATTCCTAATAATATGGCTGGATAACAGCTGTAAATATTAGACATTTCGAAATGAAAAAAAATTCTATCTAAAATTGAAAGTAAAAAAAAGCACAAGAGTCCTTAGTTAGAATCAGCCTTAACAATAAAAGCTAATAAACGTATAATTATCTTTTCATTGGAATAAAAAAAAAAAATAGAACAATAATAACAAAAATGTCAATTTTTTAAATGATGATTAACTATTGACTAAGACCATGAACAATATCTATTGACTAAGACCATGAACAATATTAAAAATACAATAAATGTAAACAAGTAGGGTGAGCATTTGATCCAATAAAAATTTATTAAGAAATCTAAATTTTTTTAAGATACAAATCAAATGAAGCCGAATAATATATAAAATCAAATTAAATCAAATTGATTCAATTTAGTTCAGTTTTGTTTTAGTTTCTTTTGAAAAAATTTAATATTTTTAGGTTTAATAAAATTTAAATTGAGATAAAAAAAAAATAATCATGCTAAATCAATTATGGAATGATTGTAAATTAAAGTAAATCAATTCGATTAATTTTATCCAAATTGGCTGAGCCCTACTAACATGTGACAGTTGAATTGCTAAGCACCGTAGGCTCTAGTAGTTACTCGGTGGTGGTAGAAAATTGGGCCCAACAAATGTATAATAATATAATAGAAAGGGCGAAAAAATAAGCGGTAGTGGACAAAGACAATAGTGAGTAAGTAGAGAGAAAGTGGGGATTGGGATGGACCACTGGTGCGCGACAAGGGCTAACCCACGCCAGAAGATGGCGCACGTGAAGGAGGTGTGGCTGGACCCACCTTTTAAGTGACCCTTCTCCACATGCACATCCACTTCCAAACCGACATCTTCCGTCGACTCTCTCTCTCGATGTACAGTTTCTCGGTCGAAATTTATAAATTCGTCTTTATATATAAAACAAATATAATACGGTAATACTCTTATATATTAAATATGGTACTCTAATATAATATGTTAATACTATTATATGGTAATATATATATATTTTTTTTTGACAAAAAAAATAGTATTTTTTTATTATTTATATCTCAAATTGACAAAAAAAATAGTATTTTTTAATTATTTATATGTCTCACAAATGAAGAATAAAGTTAGATAATGCACAATATACTATATTATATATATAGTGATAATAAATATAATAATTATCGTTATGTACAGAGTATTAATATATATATAAACTTCATAATAATTATTCTCAAGTTAGATTACTAAATAAAAACATATATCATTTATAATATGATAAAGTAAATCTATAATATCTTATAAGGTTTCTAATTTCTTATATTGCGTTACATTAAAAATATAATTGGTCGTAATATTAATTTTATAAATATGACACGTTATATTAAAAACCAGCCATTTCAAATATATTGCGAAATATTTTTTCAACAATACATAAATAACGCATTCAATTAATTATTTCTATAGTAGATTTTAGTGACAACAAGATAAAAAAACCAATCACATACATCTATAAAAAATGCTTCTACAAATAAATTTATTAATATGATTCAATAATCTAATAAATCTATAATACCTCTGATTTTCTCTTTAATTTTTTAGTATATATCAAACTAGTGTCATTGATATTATATTATATATTGAAAAAACTATATAATTAAATTTAAATGGTATAATAAATTTTAACATTGATTGATAAATAAATTTATTTTCATGAAATAATGATGCTCTAAATAATG